TCGCTCGTGGCCGCGAGGCGGCCGCGCCTATTGGCTGACCCGGGTCTGCGAAGACCTGCGGTGCAATTTTTTTTTTCTGCATTGCGGTTTTTGGTTTCCAGCTGACCCCGGTCTGGATGGACCCGGGTCAGACGATCTCCGAAAGGAAGAGGCGGCGGCTGTGCTGCTGGACTCGTGCAGGAACTGCGAGACCATCAGTCTGAAGTCTTTGCTGTGGCGTGCTACTCAGCTGCAGTTCCCCATGGCCACGGGGGCACCCCGAAAATCCAACGGTTCGGGTTCCGGAGCCACTCGGAACGGTTCCCGGGGTGATGCCAGTAGCTGGAAGCTCACCGTCTCCAGTTCCGGAATCACGCTGGAACCGTTCCGGGGTGAAACACCCATCTGAGGCCTATTCAGGACATTTTGGGATTCTATACAGAGGGCCTAATTGAGTTCTTGACAGAAGGCCTGCCTGGGCTCCTTACAGAAGGCCTTGGAAGGCCTTATTGGGCTCCCTATGGAAGGCTGTATTGGGCTCCTCGCAGAAGGCCTTATCAGGATCATTTCAGAAGGCCTTATTGTGCTGCGTACAGAGAGCTGGCCCTATTGTGGGTGGGAGATTGAAATTTTTAGGGCCCTGGTACACTCCTCCCATCCCCAAGAGCGCTGTTTTGCATTAGGGGGGTCCCTGATGGATTTTCACCCTGGAACGGTTCCAGGATGATAATCCATTTGGGCGCTCCCGACACCTTGGCGGGAAGGCCCAGCCGCGGAAAAAAGTTTCCCCAATAAGAGATGTCGTTCGGACAATTACCATTTTTTGGGCTCGGGTGCACCACCCCTCTCTATCCCCGAGAGCGCCGTTTTGCACTGGGGGACAGATGAATTTTCACCCTGGAACGGTTCTGGGGTGAGAGTCCATCTGGGCGCTCCCGCCGCGGGAGGTCCCAGCCGCGAGAAAAGGCGCCCCAATAAGAGATTTCATATGGAAAATTAACATTTTTTTGGGGGCTCGGGTACACCTCCCCACCTATCCCCGAGAGCGCCGCTTTGCACTGGGGGAGTCCCAGATGGATTTCACCCTGGAACGGTTCCTGGATGAAAATCCACCTGGGCGCTCCCGACATTGGGAGGGAGGGCCCAGCCGCGAGAAAAAGGCTCCCCAGTGAGAGATTTCAGTAGGAAGATTTGCATTTTTGGAGCTGAGGTACACCCTCGCCCTGCACCCGAGAGCGCCGTTTTGAATTGGGGGGGGTACCGGATGGATTTTCACTCTGGAACGGTTCCGGGGTGAAAATCCATCTGGGCGCTCCCGACACTGGGCGGGAGGGCCCAGCCGCGAGAAAACGTCATCCCAATTCAGGTGGAAAATTACCCTTTCTGGGTTCTCGAGAGCGCTGTTTTGCATTGGGTGGGGTTCTTAGATGAATTTTCACCCTGGAACGGTTACGGGGTGAAAATCCATCTGGGCGCTCCCGACCTTGGGCGGGAGGCCACAGCCGCGAGGAAAAGGCTCCCGAATAGTATATTTCATGCCATGTGGAAAATGATAAGAATTTTCGGGGCTCGGGTGCACCCCCTCCCAGCCCCGAGAGCGCTGTTTTGCACCAGGGGGGTCCCAGATGGATTTTCACCCTGGAATTGTTCTTGTGTGAAAATCCATCTGGGCGCTCCCGGCACTGGGCCGGAGGGCCCAGCCGCGAGAAAAGGCGCCCCAATGAGAGATTTCATGTGGAGCATTCGCATTTTTGGGGGGGCTCGGGTACACCCCCCCACCTATCCCCGAGAGGCGGCCCATGAGGCTCCTGACAGCGCCTAGATGGGAAATTACCCGCTTCAGTTTCCAATTTTCACCCGGGAACGGTTCCAGGGTGATTCTGGAATCTGAAACGGGTCGATGCCCCCATGCCCCCCCCTTCCTCCTCCCTCGCTCCCCCCCCCCCTCCCTTCCCTCCCTCCCTCGCCCCCCCCCCCGCTCCCTCCCCTCCTCCTCCTCCTCCTCCTCCTCCTCTCCTTCCTTCCTCCTCCTCATCACTCCTCCTCCGCCCTCACCTCCTTCCTCCTCTTTCTTCCTCCTCCCTCCTCCTCCTCCTCCTCCTCCTCCTCCTCCTCCTCCTCCTCCTCCTCCCTCCACAGTTACCACGCAGTATAATTGCGAAGGCCTTACGCCTGGTGCCGCCGACACTGGAGGGTGATGTCGACGACGACGGCGGCGGTGGCGGCGGCGTCGACGACGACGCTGACGTGGGCCCGATTCCTCAGGGATGTTTCTTGGGGTCTTTTGGGAAGGCTCTCGGGGGCCTCTGAGGAGGAATTCTTCACGCTTCGCGTATCCCCACCAGCCCATCTCAAAACAGCAACTCTTGCGAAACATGAGGCCTCGTGGTGCCTCCTGGGGACCTCCTGTGGGCCATCTGGGGACCTCTTGGGGCCATCCGGTGGACCTCTGGGGGCCCTCTTGGGGGGCTTGTATGAGCGCTGCCCCTCCTCCTGGTGTGACTCGTTCGGGCTCCTCGTGGTGTGAGTCGTTCGAGGCCCGCGTCGTGGTGTGAGTCGTTCGGGCTCCTCGTGGTGTGAGTCGGTCGGGCGCCTCGTCCTGGTATGAGTCGTTCGGGCCCCTCCTTGTGGTGTGAGTCGTTCGGGCTCTTCGTGGTGTGAGTCGTTCGGGCCCCTCGTCCTGGTGTGAGTCGTTCGGGCTCCTCGTGGGGCCTCTTGGGGGCCTCTTGGGGGCCTCTTGGGGCCTCTTGGGGGCCTCTTGGGGGACTCTTGGCGGCCTCTTGGGAGCATCTTGGGGGCTCTGGGGGCCTCGGGGGCCTCTTGGGGGCCTGTTGGGAGCCTCTGGGGGCCTCTTGGGGGCCTCTTGGAAGCCTCTTGGAGGCCTCTTGGGAGCCTCCTGGGGGCATCTTGGGGCCTCTTGGGGGCCTCTTGCGACCGCCTCAGAAGCGCAAATGCGCTACCCCCTGAGAAAGACAAAATGAGCCCAAAACCTTCGTAAAATCAATGATTTTGAGAACAAGGAAGAGGAGCGCTGCCCCCTCAGAAGGCCAACATGGGGCCGAAACCGTAGTAAAATCAATGATTTTGGCTTCACAGAAGAGGAGAGGGTTTTTTTAGCGTCCCCCCGTCGGGGCCAGAATCCTCGTGAGGGTCGTCGTTTTTTGGCCCTCCCAGGAGTCGAAAAAGACTCCTCCAACGACCCGCGGAACTCCCTCTCCAGGCCCAGGGGGAGGGGGTAGGGGGAGGGGTAAACCCCTCCCCGAAGGGGAAGACGGGGGGTTGGGGGGTTGAGGACAGAGAGAGCTCTCTAAACCACTCACGCCCAAAGGGCTGGTGGGATTATGGGGTCTCTTGGGGGCGTCTTGGGGGCCTCTTGGGGACCTATTGGGGGCCTTTTCGGGTGTCCTGTGGGCCTCTTGTGGGCTTCTTGGGGCCTCTTTGGGACCTCTTGGGGCCTCCTGGGAGCTTCTCGGGGCCGAGGCCTCCAAATGTCCGCTCGGGTTGCCCGTCAAGGCACGCTCTTGGACCCGTCTTGGGGGCCTCTTGGGCCGTCTTGGAGGCGTTTTGGGCTGTCTTGGGGTTCTCTTGGGATGTTTTGGAGCGCTTTTGGAAGCCTCTTGAGCCGTCTTGGGGCGATCTTGAGGGCCTCGTCGGCCGTCTTGGAGCGGCGGGAAGCGGAAAAGGCGAGAACGCCAACATCTGTCAAAACCTGAAGGACTATCACTGATGTTTGCCTCTAGTGGCCCTCCCGGGAGTGCTTTTTGATGCCTCTTGGGGCGTCTTGGAGGTCTCCTGGGCAGTCTGGGAAGGTGGAGGCATTTTGGACCGATCGTTTGGCGATTGGGGGCCCTCTGGGACCGTCTCGGGGGCCTCTTGAGGCACTATTGGCTTGTTTTGGTAACTTTTTGCAGCCCTGGGACTGTATCCCTGCCCCCCACTTCTCTCCTCCTCTCTCCCTCGCTCCCCCCCCCCGCTCCCTCCCTCGCTCGCCCCCTTCCCCCCCGCTCCCTCCGCTCCTCCTCCTCCTCCTCCTCCTCCTCCTCCTCCTCCTTCTCCTCCTTGCCATGGTTACGTGCGCTCTTCCTCCTCCCTCCTCCTTCCTCTTCCTCCTCCTCCTCCTCCTCCTCCTCTCCTCACTCCTCCTCCCTCCTCCTCCTCCTCCTCTTCCTCCTCCTCTTCCTCCTCCTCCTCCTCCTCCTCCTCCTCCTCCTCCTCCCTTCTCCTCCCTCCACAATGACTACGCAACATGAGTATTACTTCCGCTCCGTTCGTGCGTGCGTGCGTGCGTGCGTGCGTGCGGGCGGGCGGGCGGGCGGGCGGGCGTGTGTGTGTGTGTGTGTGTGTGTGTGTGTGTGTGTGTGTGTGTGTTTGTGTTGTTTGCTGCATGTGTTTTTTTGTGGTTACCTTCGTTGTTGTAGTCGGAGCGTTTCCGGTGTTTCCGAGTGGTGCTCCCGCTGCAGCGCCCCCCCCTTCCTCTCCCCCCCCCTCCATCCTCGTGCTCTTCCGCCTGCTCCTCCTCAGGTTCCGTTGCCCGTTGGTCGCCGTTCCCGCGGGGGTGGCGGGGCCTTGGCCACGGCCGCGGCCTTCCTGGGAGGGAGGGCCGCTGCTGGGGTGCGCCTGTCCAGTAGGACCCTCGGGCTTCTCGTCGCCCCTCCTACCTTTGGGGACTGTTTTCGGCCCGTCATTCGGGCCAGCCGCGTCGCGGCGAGGCATCTTGCCTGTGCACAAGGACCGACCACAACGCTGTTCAGCTTGGTTTGGGCCCCCGTTTTGTTTTTCGTTTCGCTTTTCGTTAGTGTATCTTTGGGCTGTCGTCGCAGTTTTTTAGACGCCCCGTGTCGTCATTTGTTTCGTTTGGCACCCGCTTCGTTTTCAGCGCTCGCTTTGAACGCTGGGCCTCGCCTCGTTGCTCGTTGTACACGCCATTTCGTTTCTGACCTCGTTGTGGTCGGTCCTTGCCTATGCACCTAGGGTTCGCATGTGGCCCCCTAGCACCGTTCAGCCTTTCAGCCTCCGCGCAGGTGACCGACATCCTCTGGAGCGACCCCTCCGACAGCGACTCCATGCAGGGGGTCACCGCGAACGAGACGCGCGACCCGGACGGCTCTGGCCGCATCGTGAAGTACGGCCCGGACAGGGTGGAGGACAGCTGGGGTGCCGCTTTCTGCACGAGAAGACTCGGACGGGGCCAGGACAGATATAAATCCGCTCCAGAGCGTTCCGGAACGCTCCAGAGCGTTCTGGAACGCTTTGAGAAGGCCGTGGCACCCGAGACATCCTCCAGAGCCTCCGGATCTCAGAGACTCTTGGTTTATCCTCACCCTATTACCCTACTTTGTCTTCGTCCTGGCTTCGTCTTACTACTGCCACTTTCTGCACGGGAAGATGCGATGGACGATGGAGGTTCCCAGAGGTCTCCAAAGGTCTCAGAGTCTCTGGACTTGGCATCGCTCGGACGTGTGCATTTTTCCTTCGGCGAGGACCATCGAGGAGCATCCTTGATCATTTGGCGAAAAAAACACGCACGAAACAGAAAAAACACACAGGGAGTGGACGTCCGAGCGATGGCGAGTGGAGGTTCCTGGCGAGGAAGGGTCGGGTATATGAGACTTGTCAGTGTAGCAAAGGGCGCCTACAGCTGGTGACTGGGAGCTTACATACTTGGTTGAGCGTGCATCGCGCGCGAGCGCAATTGCGCGCCAGTATAATTAGATCCGATCGTGTTAGATGCCCGAACTACTGGGGAGGATGGTGGAGGATTCAAAGGAAGATGAGGGGGTGGAAGATGAGTAGGGGGGAAGATGATGAGCACGAGAAGGGAGATACAGCGTCTGGGACTGCGCCCTTCGATGACGCACACGTGGAGCCGTCTGTCTGCCAGGCATGCAGTCGTGCGGTGTCTTTCTCCGTCTTCCTCTGCTGCCTCATCCATCTCAGACGGCTATTATCTCCAGGCATATTTCAGAGTTTTGGCGTCCTGCAGACTGAGGACGAAGATGTGACTTTGAGTGCAGTGGCAAATGTGTTGTCGCAGCCGGCAGGGATGGTGAGGAGGCGAAGGATGCAAGCTAATGGCGGGTTCCTCCCTTCTGCTGCCCACTCTTCTTTCAGCAGTTCCTCAACGACAATAAGCCTCTGTCCATGATCATCCGCGCCCACGAGTGCGTGATGGACGGGTGCGCCTGCCACGGGTGCGCCTGCCAGCTTTCATGCTATTGCAGTCTGGGAGCCTTGCAAGGAAGCTCAGCGCGACCGACTCCCTCGAGTTCGGTTCGGTGCAGGACGTTCGTTTGCGTGGGGTTCGTTGGCGTGGGGTTCCGCGGGGTTCAGGCGAGGAGGAGGAGGAGGATGAGGAGGAGGAGGAGGAGGAGGGTGATGACGAGGAAGGTTAAGGATCGGAAGGCGTGAGCGCGCGGCAGGGCAAGCTCGAGAGGCTCGCCTGCCGCACGACGAGCATGCCAGCCGCTCGGCTTACCCGCGCCCGGGCAGTGAGGCCGCCCTCCGTGTTGTTCGGATAGAGCTCCTGCTTGGAGGTCAGTTCAACGTCGGCGCTTGCGTATCCTTGGCCGAAGACCGTCGGCGCGCCGAGCGGGGGAATGAGAGGGGGCAGGCCTTCTCGGGAGGCGGCGGGGCTGCTCAGAAGCTCCCCTGCCTCTGAGAAGCCGTCCGTCTCTTCGGATGAGGTTTGGACAGCTTCGCAGATGGCCGGAGACCTGTGCCTTCTGAGCAGGCTCGCTCCCTCCCGTCTTCCCCCCCTGGGCTCGCCGCCGAGAAAGCTGGCCTAGTCCGGTATGCTCCCGCCTGGTTTCGCAAAGCCCCGCAGAATCTCACGAGGGAAAGAAACACACAGACACGATTAATCGTCCACTCCCAGGAAAATATGGGAAAATATGGGAAGTGGGGGGGAAGACAGAAACCCAGACGATATGGGAAACTATGGGGAATCTTTTTATTTGTGTGTATTTATTTGTGTGTCCCAGGGCCCCTTGAGAATCTGGCTTAATCGGGCTTGATCCTGTTCTCAGTCTGGGTCCATCCAGCTGCGTGGCCCCTTCATCGGGCTTAACTCGGCCACGCGCAAATGGGGGGAGGGGGGGGTGGGATGGCTTCGTAGAAGCACCCATGCTTCTGAGCAGGCGCGGGGCCTTGCCTGTAGATGCATGGCCCGCGCCTTCTAAGAAGCGGCCTCCTTGTAAGAGGCCCTCCCCCCCTCCCCCCCATCTCCTTGTGCGCGCCGCCAACTGAGCGACATACGAGCAACGGGTCGTCTTCACCGACATTGGCACGTACAGTCGGGGCGCTGACTAAGGAACCCTTTTCGTTGGGGAGGGGCTCCGCGTTCCCTAAGTGTTTCGCAGCTTGCCTCAGGTTTTCCTTATGTTGTCGATGGGGAATGGAAGTTTAACTTATGGAAAAAATGGGCCTCGTTCCTTATTTAGGGTTCCTTAGGTCAATTCCCCGACTGTAAGAGCAACTGGTCGTCTTCACCGACACTGGCACGTACGCTACCCGCGTAGGATGGCGCGTGGGCGCCCCCGTTTCCGATGCAGCATGCCGCGCTGGCGGCCCGCGCAACCCGCGGTGGAAGGTCGCTGTGCTATCTCGCGTAAGACCTTTGTTTTTTCGTCGCTCAACTGATACAGTCGGGGCCCTGAAGAAGGAACCTTTTTCCTTGGGGAGGGGCTCCGCGTTCCTTAAGTATTTCGCAGCTTGCCTCAGGTGTTCCTTATGTTTTCGATCGGAAATCGAAGTTTACCTTATGGGAAAAAGGGGCCTCGTTCCTTATTTTGGTTTCCTTAGGTCAAGGCCCCCACTGTAATCTTTACTTTTTTTTGCAAAGATCTCTCCCATGAGCGACCCCTCCGAGGTATGGTCCCTGCAGCTCGTCAGCCCCGAACAGCCGGCTCCATGATGGCCCCCCGTGCACGTCGCCGCAGGGCCCGGCCACCTCGCGGGTGCCCCCGGGGGGGAAGCTGCCCCTTCTCGGCCACGCGCACAGGGGTGCAGGGGGCGTGGGGAAGGCTTCTTACACGGAGGCTGTCTCATAGACTGAGCGTGGTCTATAGATGTAAGGGCCCGCGCCTTCTAAGATGCAGCCTCCATCTAAGATCAGAACGCGGAAACCCACCCCCACCCCCAGTCCCGACGCCCATCCCCGAGCCCGCGATTCAAGGGGTCGGGACTGGGGGTGGGGGTGGGTTTTCTCCATTCCTGGACCCCGAAAACCCACCCCCACCCCCAGTCCCGACCCCTTGAATTGCGGCCTCGGGGATGGGCGTCGGGACTGGGGGCGGGGGTGGGTTTTCGCCTTCTCATAAGAAGCCCTCCCCCGCTCCCCCGGCCGCCCATCCCCCCCCCCGACGGCCCCCGGGGGCGCGTGGCCGCCCTCTCCTGGCCGCGGCGCGTGGCCGCGGCAGGAGCGGCGGCGTGCAGGCCGGGGCCCGAGGAGGGGAGGGCGGGCCCGGCGGCCCGGCGGCCTGGAGGAGGAGGAGGAGGAGGACGCGACGACCTCGGGGAGGAGGAGGAGGGAGGAGGAGGGAGGAGGAGGAGGAGGAGGAGGAGGAGGAGGAGGAGGAGGAGGAGGAGGAGGAGGAGGAGGAGGAGGAGGAGGAGGAAGGAGGAAGGAGGCGACGACCTTTGGGGCGGAACGCCGGCCTCGCCCACGACTCTGCCGGTGCCGTGAGCTGCCTCCCCCGCCCGAATCCTCTCCGCCAGCGCGCGGAGGCGATCGCCGTTTGCCCTTATTCAGGAGAGGAAAAAACACACAGACACAATTAATCCTCGATTCCCCAGAAAATATGGGAAACTATGGGAAGTGGGGGGGAAGACAGAAACCCAGAAAATATGCGGAAATATAGGGAATATTTGTATTTGTGTGTATTTATTTGTGTGTCCTGGGGCCCCTTCACTTATGCCTCCCCTCCTGCTGCTCCTCGCCCGCCCGCGGGCGACGCCCAGAGCGAACGCGCGCCAGGAGCCGCCAACGGCTCCTGGTCAGATTCGCTCCCCCGGGGCCGACCGGCCCTGGGGAGTGGCGAGCGCGGCGTCTGACTAAAACGACGCGAAGGTCGGGACAAGATCGGATCGGGATAACTCGAAATCTCGGAGAATCGGCGGGTTTGGAGGATGTATTGGGCGCCGCGGCCGCTCCAGAGCGTTCCGGAACGCTCTGAGAGCGCTCCGGAACGCTCTGGAGTGATTTATCCCGATTCTAGCCTTGTTTTATGGCGAGCGCGGCGTCTGACAGACTCTTGCGCCTTCGGCTGCTCGGCCGCTCGTGAGGAGGTCGAGCATGATCGACGTTTTGAGGTCTTGCCACGGTTTCGGCCCCTGGGGCCGCCGAAGATCGATCCAGGACCCCCGCAGGGGGATGAGGAGGAGGCGGCGGAGGTGGAGGAGGAGGAGATGAAGACCAGTGTAAGCCCAAGACGCATCAACGCTATTGCAGTATCCTTCCGAGTTCATTCTTCATAGGTCCCTGCAATCATTCTTTTCACTGCTACTGATGGCAGTGCCCCGTTGTAAGACATCCGTCTGAGAGCCCTCAATCATGCCAAAACGCCGTGCCTTGGATTTCAACGCCGTGAATCAACTTTCTGGTCTCGTCCTGACGATCCTGAATCGTGCCCGAACGCCCTTCCTGGGACTTCAACACCGCGAGTCAGCGTGACCGTTGCGCCCTGGCAGTCCTAAATCGTGCTGGAACGCTATTCCTGGGACGTCAACTAAGGGGATCCATGAAGCTGTTGTGAACTTCGAGACGAACGCTCGTTGCGCCCGGGCGAGAGTCACATTTTGAAGCACCGTCCTCCATGTGTGAACGTTCTTGTACATATGATTGCGACGCCTGGGCGCGGCGCACAGGCGAGAGCCACATGCCGAAAGCCACCCCGCCCTCCATCCGCGAAGCCCTTGCAGGCTTTCGAGACGAACTCGTGCAGCAGCTGAGGCGAGAGCAACACTCTGGAAGACAGCTCGCCCTCCGTCCGTGAAGCCTTTGCGCCAAGCTTTTGAGACGAGCGCGCGCGGCGCTACGATAATTACGGGAGCCAACAGGCTGAGACGGCCCGCCGCCTCCCCGTCCGCGAAGCGTTTTTTTTTTTTTTTTTTTTTTTTTTTTTTTTTTTTTTTTTTTTTTTTTTTTTTTTTTTTTTTTTTTTTTTTTTTTTTTTTTTTTTTTTGTTTTTTGTTTTGTTTTTGTTTTAAAAAGAATAAAACAAGCTGTTTTGAGATGCATGGGCGCGGCGCCGAGGCGAGAGGCACATTTTGAGGAGGGCCCGCCCTCCCTCCGTGAAGCTCCTGCGTGACGAACCAGCACACACACCCACCCGTACCCATCGGGGGGGTCGGGGAGGGCTACGGGTGCGTGTTGCCGGAGGGGGGTCCCCATTCGAGCGGGAGCGTTCCCCAGGGTCCGACAACCCGCACCCGTGCCCATAAAGAGTCCTCCTCCCACCCCCCCCCCCTATGGGTATGGGTGTGTGTTGTTCGCTCGTCATGGCAGGCAGTCCAGACGGATGTGCGCGGCGCTCAGGCGAGAGCCACATCTTGAGCACGGCCCGCGCCGTATCCCCGAATTTCGTCCAAGCTTTGAAGGCGACTGTGCGCTCCGCGGAGGCGCTATCCACGTATTGAACCACCCGCCCTCCATCCGAGAAGCTCTTGCACACCTTTAAGACGAATGCGCGCGGCGCTACGGCCAGGGCCACATTCTGACAACAGCCCGCCTTCCATCCGCGAAACTGCTGCAAATACTAAGCTTCAGGGGCATAGATGGTGAGGAATTTCAGGCGAAACGCCCAGCCCGCCCTATCGATACGTCTCGGGGTGCGACAGGAGAGAGTTATCTATAAAAAGATGGAGGCGGAGGCGGAGGAGGAGGAGGAGGAGGAGGAAGAGGAGGCGGAGAAGGATGAGGAGGAGGAGGATGAGGAGGCGAAGGAGGCGGAGGAGATGGAGGAGTTGGGGAATCGAGGTTTTTGGCTCTGTCTGGGCCTCCCGCTCTTGAAGCAGGACTTGGCGCGGGCTGTTGCTCCATCGGAGCGGTTGCCAGAGCCCCGTCGGACCCACCGTGGGCGTCCAGGTGCCAGCGCCGAGCTGTCATGTCGAGCCCCTTGGGGGGGAGCGGAGCGGCATCATCATGTCTGGTCAGGGGTAGCTCCCGATTCGTGCCTCAGGGGCCTAAATCGATGTTGCCCCGGACCAGGGGTATCCTGGATGATTTCGGGCCTCCAACCTACCACCGAACCATCGGGGCTGGAATTTGGCCAGCAGCAGCTCTCGCTTCGCGCGCCGGGGGGGCCCACACCAGAGTTGCCACGGGCAGGAGCTATCCCAGATAACTCGGGCGCGGGCGTCCAAATGGATCGGGGGTGGACAGAACCCCCAACAGTGACACGTCGATTAGTGAATTGTCCGTTTTCGGTTCTCGAGAGGGCGCCGTGGCCGCTATTTTCCAGGCTTGCGCCCGCCAGGTTTGGGCCTCGGGTCGTTCTCACTGAGCCACGTTTTACTACAGGGAGGTGTGTCCATCCCCGAATGGAGCCGCGCCGCGCACAGGTTCGAGCGCTTCGCGAACGGCAAGCTGATCACCGTGTTCAGCGCCACCGACTACTGCGGCCACCACAAGAACGCAGGAGACGGCCCACCGGTCGGCGGCCGCGGGAGCAGGTGTGCGGCCCGCTGCCGGGGAGTGCCCACCGGTGCGCTGCGATCCGATCCCCCCGCGCCCCGATATGACTCTGACATCAGGAGGGGGAGAAAGACACAGACACAATGAATCGTCGATCCCCCAAAAAGATGGGAACATATGGGAAGTGGGGGGGAAGACAACAACCCAGAATATATATATATATATATATATATATATATATATATATATACACATATAACGGCGCACCGGGTCCGGGGGCCCGGGGCCGGGACCCCGACCGCAAATGTGCACCCCGGGGGGCCCGGAGGCTCGTCGGGGCTTGCCGGAGGCCTCCCCGGTCAGACAAGACGGCCCCAGGAGCGCCCAAGACGGCCCAAGAAACTTCCATGAGGCCTCCAAGAGGGCTCCGAGATGCTGAAGATGGCCTCCAGACGTCCAAGGACGCCCCCAAGAGGCCCCAAGAAGCCTCCAACATGCGTCCCAAGAGGGCCCCTAGACGCAAAAAATTGCCCATTCCTTTCGTAAAACGTACATTTTCAACAAAGTTGCCTTTTGGGCTTTCCGACGTTACAGGACGGCCCAAGAGGCGCCCAAGACCGCCCCAAGACGGCCCAAGAAGCTTCCAAGAGGGCCCCAGGACAGCCCAAGAGGGCCCCAAGACGGCCCAAGAGGCGCCAAGATGGCCCAAGAGGGCCCCAAGACGGGCCCAAGAGGGGGCCCAGAGGGGGACCACGAACCGCAAGCTCGAGCCTTCCGCCCCAAGAGGCCGCCAGGAGGCCCCAAGGAGGCCCCTCAAGAGGCCCCAGGAGACCCCATACTCACGGACGCCCCCAAGAGGCCCCCGAAGCCTCCAACAGCGTCCCAACAGGGCCCCTAGCCGCAACAATTGGCCCATTTCCCCTTCGTACAACTACATTTTCTAACAGGTTGTCTTTTGGGCTTTCCGACGTTTACGGACGTTGCCCAATAGGCGCCCAAACCGCCCCAAGACTGCCAATAAGCTTTCCAAGAGGGCCCCCAGGACCGCCAAGGGCCCCAAGAACGGCCCAAGAAGGCGCCCAGATGCCCAAGAGGCCCGAAGACTGGGCCCAAGAGGGGGCCATATGGGAGCCACGACCGCAAAGCTAGGGGGGGGGCCTTCCGCCCCCAAGAGGCGCGCCAGGAAGCCCCCAGGCGGCCCCTCAAGAGGCCCCGGGAGACCCCAGACGTCCAAGGACGCCCCCAAGAGGCCCCAAGAAGCCTCCAACATGCGTCCCAAGGGGGCCCCTAGACGCAAGAATTGGCCCATTCCCTTCGTAAAACGTACATTTTCAACAAAGTTGTCTTTTGGGCTTTCCGACGTTACAGGACGGCCAAAGAGGCGCCCAAGACCGCCCCAAGACGGCCCAAGAAGCTTCCCAGAGGGCCCCAGGACAGCCCAAGAGGGCCCCAAGACGGCCCAAGAGGCGCCCAAGATGGCCCAAGAGGGCCCCAAGACGGGCCCAAGAGGGGGCCCAGAGAGGGACCACGAACCGCAAGCTCGAGCCTTCCGCCCCAAGAGGCCGCCAGGAGGCCCCAAGGAGGCCCCTCAAGAGGCCCCAGGAGACCCCCAAGAGGCCCAAAGGAGGCCCCGAGAAGCCCCAAATCGGCCCCCAACATGCTTCGAACCTGCTTCCAGGAGGCCCCCGACAGGTTCAGAGGCTCCCGAGAAGCTACGTCAAACTCCCAGCGAGCGGCCGGACGAGGCCCCCCAAAAAATCCCAAGAGGGTTCCAGTATTTGTATCTTTCAGCGCTCTCTGGCCTTCTTCCCTCTCTTTCTCTCTATCTTTCTCTCTCTTCCTTTCAGATTCCGTGTCCTTGCGACCTTCTGCAGTCCCCGACGTCGCCACGGCTGGATCCGCTCGAGCGTGTCTTGTGATGTGCGGCGGTGCGAAGCCCGTCCAACTGATCAAGGCACAGGTACGAAATGATGGGTCCATAATTTCTTGCCTTCCCATGTGCGTTTTCCCAATCGATTCCTGGGCCCGAGGTCGCAAAAATTACGACGTCGGAGGTCTGGGGAGGCGGGAAGCACGACCTGGACCTCCGACGTCTTGGAAAAATCACGACGGCGGTTTCGGTCAATTTTCGGCCTCCGGGGCCCCTCGCAGGGTCCCGGGACCGTCAGAAAACGACTCAGGATGAAAATTATCCCGGCAAAGCAACCTAACAGCGATGTGTAGAAGCATATCTGAAAGCATTCCCCTTAAGATTCAGATGAAAATCCAGTTGTCGAATTCTGCTGTTCTCGCAGTTGTAGTCGCATTCGCGATGACAGTCGCAGCGGCAACGGCAGTCGCAGTCACAGCCTCAGCCTCAGCCTGCCTCCTCCTCCTCCTCCTCTTTCTCCTGCTGCTCCTCCTCCTCCTCCTCCTCCTCCTCCTCCTCTTCCTCCTGCTCGTCCTCGTTCTCGTCCTCCTCGTCTTGCTCGTCCTCCTCCTCCTGGTGCTCTCTCCTCCTCCTCCTCCTCCTCCTCCTCCTCCTCCTCCTGGTGGTCCTCGTTCTCCTCCTCCTGGTGCTCTCCCCCCCCCTCCTCCTCCTCCTCCTCGTCCTCCTCCTCCTCTTCCTCCTCCTCCTCCTCCTCCTCCTCCTCCTCCTCCTCCTCCTCCTCCTCCTCCTGGTAGTCCTCCCCCTCCCCTCCTCCTCCTCCTCCTCCTCTTCCTGGTCGTCCTCGTTCTCGTCCTCCTCGTCTTGCTCGTCCTCCTCCTCCTGGTGTTCTCTCCTCCTCCTCCTCCTCCTCCTCCTCCTCCTCCTCCTCCTCCTGGTGGTCCTCGTTCTCCTCCTCCTGGTACTCTCCCCCCCCCTCCTCCTCCTCCTCGTCCTCGTCCTCCTCCTCCTCCTCCTCCTCCTCCTCCTCCTCCTCCTCCTGGTGCTCCTCCCCCTCCCCTCCTCCTCCTCCTCCTCCTCTTCCTGGTCGTCCTCCTCCTCCTGGTCGTCCTCCTCCTCCTGCTCGTCCTCCTCCTCCTCCTGCTCGTCCTTCTTCTCCTGCTCCTCCTGCTCCTCGTCCTGCTGCTCGTCCTCGTCCTCCTGGTCTTGCTCGTCCTCCTCCTCGTCGTGCTCTTGCCCCTGCTGAAAATGTGGCCCAGGAGTGGGAGTTCTGGGAAGTCGAAGAGCACGAAGTTGCCTACAGTTGGCTACGGGCATTCAAAATGTGGTCCGGGAATGGAGTTCTGGGAACTCGAAGAGCACGAAGTGGCCTACAGTTGGCTCCGGGCATTCAAAATGTGGCCCGGGAATGGAGTTCTGGGAACTCGAAGACCAGGAAGTGGCCTACAGTTGGCTCCGGGCATTCAAAATGTGGCCCGGGAATGGAGTTATGGGAACTCGAAGAGCACGAAGTGTGTGACTGTTGCATCCGGCCCTCCAGAATGTGGCCCGGGAATGGAGTTCTGGGAACTCGAAGAGCACGAAGTGTTTGACTGTTGCATCCGGTTATTCTAAATGTGGCCCGGGAATGGCGTTCTGGGATCTCGAAGAGCACGAAGTGTCTGACTGTTGCATCCGGTTATTCAGAATGAGCCTGGGAATGGAGTTCTGGGAACTCGAAGAGCACGAAGTGTGTGACTGTTGGTGAAAAACGAGCTCGGCACAGGCCCGCCCGGCAACTCCCAACACCTGCCCGGACCCTCTGTGGAGTGATCTGTGACCTCTTTGAACACTACTAGAACCTAGTCCGCTTCGCTTGTTAGGTAAGAAAAAATACAGTTGTCGATTTTCTGCTGTTCTCGCAGTCCGTATGTTTCGCATCGCGATGACAATTCGCAGCGGCAACGGCAGTCGCAGTCACAGCTCGGCTCAGCCTGCCTCCTTCTCCTCCTCCTCTTTCTTTCTCCGGCTCCTCTCCTCCTCCTCCTCCTCTCCTCTCCTCACTCCTCTTCCTCTGCTTCGTCCTTCCGTTCCTCGTCCCCTCGTCTTGCTCGTTCTCCCTCCCCTGGTCCTCTCGATTCCTCCTCCTCATCCTCCTCCTCCTCCTCCTCCTCCTCCTCCTGGTGGTCCTCGTTCTCCTCCTCCTGGTGCTCTCCCCCCCCCTCCTCCTCCTCGTCCTCCTCCTCCTCCTCCTCCTCCTCGTCCTCCTCCTCCTCTTCCTCCTCCTCCTCCTCCTCCTCCTCCTCCTCCTGGTAGTCCTCCCCCTCCCCTCCTCCTCCTCCTCCTCCTCCTCTTCCTGGTCGTCCTCGTTCTCGTCCTCCTCGTCTTGCTCGTCCTCCTCCTCGTGGTGTTCTCTCCTCCTCCTCCTCCTCCTCCTCCTCCTCCTCCTCCTCCTCCTGGTGGTCCTCGTTCTCCTCCTCCTGGTACTCTCCCCCCCCCTCCTCCTCCTCCTCGTCCTCGTCCTCCTCCTCCTCCTCCTCCTCTTCCTCCTCCTCCTCCTCCTCCTCCTCCTCCTCCTCCTCCTCCTGGTACTCCTCCCCCTCCCCTCCTCCTCCTCCTCCTCCTCCTCCTCTTCCTGGTCGTCCTCCTCCTCCTGGTCGTCCTCCTCCTCCTGCTCGTCCTACTCCTCCTCCTGCTCGTCCTTCTTCTCCTGCTCCTCCTGCTCCTCGTCCTGCTCCTGCTCGTCCTCGTCCTCCTGGTCTTGCTCGTCCTCCTCCTCGTCGTGCTCTTGCCCCTGCTGAAAATGTGGCCCAGGAATGGGAGTTCTGGGAAGTCGAAGAGCACTAAGTTGCCTACAGTTGGCTACGGGCATTCAAAATGTGGCCCGGGAATGGAGTTCTGGGAACTCGAAGAGCACGAAGTGGCCTACAGTTGGCTCCGGGCATTCAAATTGTGGCCCGGGAATGGAGTTCTGGGAATTCGAAGAGCACGAAGTGGCCTACAGTTGGTCCGGGCATCCAAAATGTGGCCGGGGAATGGAATTCTGGGAACTCGAAGAGCACGAAGTGGGTGACTGTTGCATCCGGCCCTCGAATGTGGCCGGGAGGAATGGCGTTCTGGGATGTCGAAGAGCACGAAGTGTGTGACTGTTGCATCCGGTTATTCTAAAGGTGGCCCGGGAATGGCGTTCTGGGATGTCGAAGAGCACGAAGTGTGTGACTGTTGCATCTGGTTATTCTAAATGTGGCCCGGGAATGGCGTTCTGGGGTCTCGAAGAACACGAAGTGTGTGACTGTTGCATCCGGGTATTCAGAATGTGGCCTGGGAATGGAGTTCTGGGAAGTCGAAGAGCACGAAGTGTGTGACTGTTGGTGAAAAACAAGCCCGGCACCCTGCCGCCCGGCAACTCCCCAACACCTGCCCGGACCCCCCTGTGGAGTGATCTGTGAGCTCTTTTGAGTCAACTAGAAACCTATCAGTCTTCGCTGTTAGGTAATTCGTACGCTTCCCAAGGCAGCCCCTCATCTCCAGCCTAGCCGCACACGCGTTGACTGCCCGGGCTTGGCAATCGTGACAGATGAAGCTACCCTGGGTGGCTGGGACCGCCGTCCAGGCGTGCCAGCGGTGGGCTCCTATCTCTCGGGGTCGGGGAACCTTGGGGCGATCGGGGAACTGAGCGACAGGGAAGAGGGGCAAGACCGCTCCCACGACTCTCGCCGCAGCTCGGGCCCTATCAGCCGATCAAGCTCTTCGAGGTCCCCCTGACTATCCCGAGCATGGGGCAGCACAGCATTCTTAGCATACAGGTCCGCCGCTCGATTCGCGAGACCGATTCGTCTCTCCGTCGACGGCAATTCTTCAATGTCCTCTCTAGACTCCGATGGGCGGGCGTGTGAAACGCTTGCCCGATGAAGGGAGCCCCTTCCAGCTCAAAGAATCCGCGCCTGAGGCCAGCACACTTCGAGCGACTCGATAAAACCTGATATTGGCTCTGATTGTGCATCCGAACAACGCCGAGGCAATCAGAGTGAACCTGGACTGGCTGACGTATCACGAAAGCAGGTGCAATGATCGCCATCTGCTCTGCGGCCTGAGGGGTCTGAGGCAGGGAAGGCCATACAGGCCCTTGAAACCTAGCTACTATCTCCTCGGAACCCGACCGCATGTACACGCCAGCATAGGCCGCCCTCGAGAGCTCACGGATGGGGCTTCGCGCGCACGACCCATCAACGACGACGTCGACGACATCTCCCAACGCCGAGAGGTCCTCAAGGGGTCGGCCATCCTGCCCAAACACGGCAGGATACAGCTGGTCGGTCGGGGGTTGGAGGTAGCACGACGGATGCTTAAAGACCAGACGGTTCCACAAAAGACCTTCGCGCCCCGCCTGGGCAGCCTCAGCGATTATCTCCGCACTACACGTATTCTGCCTGACCTCGACCACCTCAGGGGCTTGACAGCACCACAACCTATAATGGAGGCCATCAGGACCGCCACACAACGGACACTTCCCATCAGACCCATATCCAAGGGATTGCAAGCGATCACTAGTGACCACAGCCTTAGTGAAACAACTAGCTATGGCATACTTCTGTCGTGCACTATACTTCTTCGACCTACGCACGCACGAGCGCACTAAGTCAACACGCACGCGCGCACCGTCACCTTGCACGCCTAAGCTAAGCGCCACGTCACGTTCATGCTGTCTCTGGACGGCCTCACGTAGGAGATGCTTGATGAGGGAAGGGGAGGTATACAGCAGAGAGAGCTCGACTCCTCGATCATCGATCCACTCCGTGAAGTTCTTAGGCTCCCAGCTGACCCTCCGGAGGCACATCGACATTCGAACGATCGGGCCCTTCGTCTTTCTTCAAGGCATCTCAGGATCCCAATTGGCATGAACCTGCTGAAACATATCTGCGAGCTGCGTCATAGTGAAGAGAGAGCGCTTCTGCGCAACCGCCGCCTGCCAGATCGCGGCTGCCCACTGCACCGCGGGCGCCACGGCAGCGTCAGCAACAGGGTCGCCATGAAGCACACACTTCGCCACGAACGAGGCCCCTCGATGCGAGGGCGCCTTGAAGCTGAGGAGCGTCGCACGAGCTCGTCTGAGCTCATGATCACTCATGCCCAGCACCGCACTGCCGTAAGACAAGGCTGGCTTCAAGCCTGCCGTGTGAATCTTAGACATCCGATGCTTTCCATGTGCCAACCATCTTCCGAATCGCAAAACTCGCTGATGCCGAAGCTTGAATTGCTGAAATCGAATCCATCGTTTTCGAAGCCCCCCTTTAGCCGACCGGGGCTGTCCTGGAGCGAAGTCGACCCCGAGGTTGAGCGACGCCGACGTGACCATACCTTCAGGCAAGCCTCGAATGCGAAGTTGATGGGCCAGCGATTTCGCTAGTCCGACCGAGCTAGCTATCGTAACTGCCTTCGGCTCCGAGATATCCGCTTTTAGCTCCTGCTGAAACGTGTGATGAAAATCGGCTGCTGCTGCAGGCACTGCTCGAAGTAGGCTAGCTTTGTCCCCCATCCCCAGTATCGTGTCATCGTCGATGTACGAGGATAGGCGAATCGTCGGGTGTCTCATCATGAAAGCATCGAAGGCCTCAAGCGCATACACCTTCACGAATGCATCGTTGAAAACATCGCCTGCGCGGAGACCGCTGGAGGCAAAAATGGCCACTGTGTGAAAAGCTGGACCTAGACGGACCAGTCTGGGGCACCTCCACAGGTTGTACATCGTCTTAGCGATAACCTTAGGGATACCACATCTATACGCCCTATCTCGTAGAAGTTCGAGCTGGAAAGATTCGTAGTACTTCTTCCCGTCCCACTGAACTCCCAAGACAACCTGATCCCTGGTATCCGCCACCTCCGAAAGGGCCGCTTGGGCCCAAACGCAAGCTTCTGCACTTTTCCCCGCTCCGAAGGCCCAGTAGTCCCTCTCCGTTTCAGCAAAGAAAAGGTCCAACATGGGGCGGCGTAGTCTTCCCCAGACGCGGACAAAACTAGCGAGGAGTAGGATAGCACGATGTCCTCCTGCAGGCTTATCTATCAGCGGAAAAACCACCCACGTAAAATGTCGCGGGAAGAGCCCGAGCCTTTCCACCGCTTCGTACAGAATACTCAGGGTGAATATGCCAGCATCTCCCAGCAGACAGATGTGCATCGGATGGAACCCATCCAAAGTCGACGCCGTGAACTGGCAAAACTTTCTGGACGCACTGCGAATCTCATCAATCGACGCCCTCGGGGAGCGCTCACGATCGGGTACTTCCGCCACAGGTGGGGAGATCGATGCATGCCACTGCGCCTGCAACGCCTCGGCCTCACTGGCAAGAAGATCATCAGGCCGACTCGAAAATGCACCTGGCGAGCGTTCAACTATGCTGGGGTTCCAGATCTGCTGAATCCGAGTGATTTTATGCATTAGCTTCGCTGAGCCTTTCAAGGCTTCGTCGCACCACTGGTCCCACGTCTGTGTGCGCAGTTTGGCAGCTGCGCTGGTGGCATGCTCAAACTCTGTGACCCTGAAAGCTGAGAGGGGCGCCGCTCGATCCCACCATGGATGATCCAACTGAGACGGGTGCGATCGGAGAAGATCACGAAGAGCTTGCACCTGCGCATCAAGTCGGACATCCAATCCTTCTCCTGGATACTCTTCCGAAAGGCACGCGCGATGTAGCTCGAGCCCAGCCGTATTCCTATGCAAGACGGGGCCCTCCTGGATCGTGACTTCAAGTTCATGCCACACACAGTAGAACCACTGCCACCCACGGCAAACTGCGACATCATCAGCAGCACGAAACTTGCGCCCAAGAACTGGCACCCATCGTCGAGCCAAATACCTATCACGCGTGTCCGACTTCAGAGGGAAATCCAAAACCTGCGCCAGCTCCATCTCAGCATCCTGCAAGAAAACGGTCCAGGCGTGATTGAGCTTCTGCCATGCCGCGCGCACCTCATCGTGCTCGGCAGCATGCACAGCATGTTCAGCCATCTCTCGGGCCGCCCTGTACGACCGAGGCTCGCGGCGGGGACCGAAAGGTGGCAGAATGGGGAGCCGCACGTGCGAACAATAAACCAACTGCTTTAGCTCCAATACGCCAGGCCGAAGGTGAAGTCGCGCAGGTTTGCGCGGCCCTCCATGCCACGACTGCAAGACTCGAACTTTGTCAACCATGCGTACCATATCATGAGAGCCAAGGAAACAGTCGATCGTCGAGGCCGAATTCGACATGATGCAGGTGTGCCGCGCGGGGACCACCGCGATCAGTCCCGCCTTGCGAGTGAAGCCCGACTCCTCAAGCACCTGAGGCTCGACATTCCAATCAGCTCCCGCTAAGATGGTGCCTGACGACTTAGACGCGCTCGAGCCCAACATCTTCAATATATGCATGTTGGCCGAGTTCAGGCCTACTGCACAAAAGAGGTACGCGGAGTACACCGTGAGCTCGGGCCATCCAGGGATGTCAACCTGGACCGAAATCAATCTGCCACGACACATCTCGCCTCCAGTAGGATTCCACCTCAGTCCCAGCTCCGATCGAACAAAGACAACCACCCCAGCAGAGCGCGAAACTCGATCACGCTCGAAGGAAGGACTGCACAACATCCGATAACCAATGGCACGAGCTGCACGCTGAAGATCGGGGACCGCAGCCTCCGCTGTGCCGATCTCCTGCGCACATACAATCAACGAGTTGGAAGCACGTAGTCGTTCAAGAAGTGTGGCACGGCAATTGCCATTGAACGACTCGAAAAATGAACACTATCATCTGCGGGTGTGTCGCGAAAGCCTTTGTGGAGCGGTACCACATGCCCATCTCCAGTGACAGGTAGGCCACACAAGAAAGGCATAGTTGTGGGGCGCCCGCCCAGGCTCCTGAGACGCTCCCCCATATTAAGTCCTTGGACACCCAGCACCTGTGGGCACGAGGGGTCTGCAGTTGCCTGGGCTCGAGACGAACCTGTAATCGTAGCACTTGATGGAGCAGCTCCTCCAGCCAGAGGAGGGTGAGCGTCGCGCCAGCGGTCATCAGGAAGACTTCCTCTGGCGTTTGACCCCCATGGCTTGGAGCTGCTCCTCAAACTGGCGCTTGTCCCCCGCGGGCTTGGTAAGCTCCTCCACTTCTCCGGCGGACAGGCCATCGTACATAGTAGCATATTCCTCTTCTTGTCCCGCTGGCTGTTCGTCGGCCTCCGCAGGTGTCGCAGCCTCCTGTGGAGTAGACGGTGGGGTCGATTCCTTGAGCAGCTGCTGGCACTTCGCGAAAAGAGGGTTCTGCAGGAAATCCTTGACATCAGCATTTGCATCCAGGACTTCCTGCGAGAGGATGGGGCATGGCACCGACTCCGCCGCAACGGGCATGGTCCTGCGCAGCTCCATCTCGAGGGCATCAACCTCGCGCTGCATGGCATTCTCCCTCTCGACCATCTCAGCAAGGGCGGCCTGGGCCTTTGTGATGAGCTCGTGCTGAGCCACCACGGCAGCCTTGGCCTTCTCAAGCTTCTTTTGTGCTGACTGGAGTCGAAAGGCAGCGTTGGTGTGCTGTTAGAGAGGTGGCTTGCTGCTGCGCTGGGCCGCTCGAGCCTCACGCAACTGATCCTGCAAGCACTTCTTCGCGGGGTCAGACCCATCAACTTGTTCCATCTGTTTGAGGGCATTTTCCAAGGACTCGATCCTGCTTGCACGCATATCATCAGGAGCATCTGAGCGAGAAGCAGACTGACCATGCGCAGCGCCACCCGTTGCTGCTGAGTCCTGGCGCACCCCTGACGCTTGGAGCCGCTGGTCAAGCTTTTTGTCCAGGGCTTGTGTGATCTGTCTGAAAAGATCAGGAGGTGGTCCCGCCGCCCATCGTCCACTCGGTCCCCAAGGAGGATGTACAAGGAGGCGGGAGGAAGGAGGAACAGGGGAGATATGCGGGGCCAAGCGGACACACGCCTGAAAAACACGACTGTCGGCATGCTTCGCGAGAGTTGCTGCAGTGAGATGGGCTGGTGGGGATACGCGAAGCGTAAAGAATTATCGAGCAGGAGCCGTCGTCGTCGTAGCTGGGCTCTCCCCACGTGAGCGACTTGCGAGGATGTCTTTGGCGAGAGCGTCACTCCTGAGGGTAAGAATGCACACGGCCAGGGTGCACGCAAATCTATTACGGCGGGAGCCTTTGTCGTCGTGGCGGGGCCCTCAACAACCCACATTTAGACCCAAATCCGCGCTCGACTGGGAACGTCGCTTTCAACAAAAATGTAGCCCGCGTCACGGCAAAAGCGCCCTGAACCATTGCCGAAGATCAGCATTCATTATTCTCCACAGTAAATATTCGGCGAGAGCGCTAAGG